TGTATTTGTACAGAAGTTAATGTTCCTGTTGCCCACTAACTGGCATTCTCTTCAACACCCTGCCACCGGGTTACCATCTGTTGTTGGCTTGTATTCCCTGTATCCTTAGTCAAACAAAGGCTGGTATTATCTCACAACCTCTTCCACTGAAGCTTGGTGAACAATGTTAAAACACACAAATAGAAGCCATTCATCTTCTTAAAAGCTGGAGTCTGAGCATTCCTGTATGGATCAGTCTTGGAAGATCTATTTATCTATATACCTCTATCGCACACAAAAATGAAAAAATGTTACATAATGTGCAGTACAGAAACATTTCACGTACAGTACATGGTTTCATTGCCAAATGAGATTATAGAATAATAATAATAATAATAATAATAATAATAATAATAATAATAATAATTTTTATTTATACCCCGCCCTCCCCAGCCAAGGCTGGGCTCAGAGCGGCTTACAAGCAATAATAAAAACAAGAAGAATGATTACAACTTAAAAACAAAAATAAAATACAACATTAAAATAATGATCCTGAGGCAGGCTGAAATAATGCATTTGGGTCATGTATTTTGTGCTGAGCCCTAACCTTGTCGACTTCAGCCTCCTGGGGAGGTGAAGGGAGAACACTTTTAAGATGGCATCACGCAATGCAGCACCTTGTGTTAATAAGAAGGTTTTCAAAATATTTATTGGGCGGTGCTTTCCATTGGAAAACTTTGTTCATGTGTGTGTGTGTGTGTGTGTGTTTGGGGGGGGGCGTTGCTGTAAATATCAGGACTATGAAACTTTACAGTTAAAGCAAGGAGGCTGCTTTTCTGGCTTTCTTTGTATGATCTCTGAATTAGATTACATAAGAACTCTACTGGATCAGGCCAGAGGCCCACCTAGACCAGCATCCTGTTCTCACAATAGCCAACTAGATGAGAAGTCTGATGAGGGCCTGAGGACCAGAGTGTTCTCCCCTCTTACAGTTTCAAGCAACTAGTCTTGAGAAGCGTACTGCCTCCCTGAAACCTGATCCTCTTTTAAAGCCATGCAAGTTGGTGACCATCACAGACAGCAATGATAGGAGTTGAAAAACCAGATCATACAATATTTGTGCAAATCATGAGCAGTCTAGCTATCCCGAAGGACTGGAAAAGCGGACAGTCTTAAATCCTAATTTGAAGTCAGGCTCACCCAGATCAATGGGGCTTATGACTACAGAAACAGAATTAACAAAACCAGGATCCATAAGTAACTACCATAAAAAGGTAAAGCTACCCCTGCCCGTACGGGCCAGTCTTGACAGACTCTAGGGTTGTGCGCCCATCTCACTCAAGAGGCCGGGGGCCAGCGCTGTCCGGAGACACTTCCGGGTCACGTGGCCAGCGTGACAAGCTGCATCTGGCAAGCCAGAGCCGCACACGGAAACGCCGTTTACCTTCCCGCTAGTAAGCGGTACCTATTTATCTACTTGCACCCGGGGGTGCTTTCGAACTGCTAGGTTGGCAGGCGCTGGGACCGAACAACAGGAGCGCACCCTGCCGCGGGGATTCAAACCGCCAACCTTTCAATCGGCAAGCCCTAGGTGCTGAGGCTTTTACCCACAGCGCCACCCGCGTCCCTTAGGAGGTTCTTACACCCAGCTAAATTAGTACTGTTTAGGACTGCAATATCAGTCCCTTTTTAACAACTTTTATCCCAGATATATTTTCTTGTTCACTTACATTAAATGGTGTGTATAATTTTATTCAAGAATTTATAAATAATATTGTCTGATGACAATGCTGATCCTCAAAAGCAGTTTTGTCAGAATGTTTTTTGAATACACAAACTTGGAGAACTTCATGGGAAATTGGGGGGGGGGGCTACTTTCTGACCTTTTCAGCTGTTCACTGAACTACTTTAGTAAACACAATTGTTGCCTCATGGAGGATCAGGTGACACCCTGTCTGGAAATTGCCTTGGATCAGCTTTTTCGTTCTGTGTAACTTGCTGCTTGGTTGTATAGTTGTTTTGACTTCTATGCTGAATATTAAGAGAGCACACTGGGAATTGTTACAGTGGTTTATATGAATTTCATGTGCTCATATAAATGTAAGTCAGAGCTTTGGTTGTTTGCCTGGTTATTTTGATTACTGATAATTAAAGTGAGCTGTTGTAGAGGAAAGGGCTTTTTGTTTAATCTGAGGGAACTGGGGCCACAGAGTATTATTATCAATAATGCAATTATCCTTTTATGCCACAAACTCAATCAAGTCTTCCTGATACTTTTTAATTGCTTTCACTTGGGATGGAGACACAGCTTGTGATCTTTCTGCAGACGTGGGCTTTGCATTTCCATTTGGCTAAACTCCATGGAAGGCTGACTCCCTCCTTTCCTCACACATACTAATGTTCATCTTTAACTTGCTTTCTTTTTAAAGTTGTTCTGCAACTGAACTGCCACCCTTTGGTGGGAAAAATAATAATTTCACTGGCCTCGAGTTCTTTAGTTGCTACCATTCCCCCCCCCTCCTGTGCCTTTATAGATTTTTCAGTACAGTCATACCTCGGGATAAATGTGCTTCAAGTTAAGTATTTTCAGGTTGCGCTCCACGGCAACCCAGAAGTAATGGAGCATGTTCCTTCTGGGTTTTGCCGCGCGTGCATGCGCAGATGGTCAAAATGACGTCACGCACATGCGCAGAAGCAGCGAAACACGGCCTGCGCACGTGCAGACGCAGGTTGCGTTCGCTTCAGGATGCGAACAGAGCTCCGGAACGGATCCCGAGCTAGATGACCCTCAGGGTCACTTCCAACTCTATGATTCTATGTTGCACTAGGGCAGGTATGGGGAACCTTTGGCCCTCCTGATGTTGCTGAACATCAGGCAATTGGCCATGCTTGCTGGGGCTGTCAGGAGTGCTTCAACAACCTATCGAGGGCCTAAGATCACCCACACCTGTACTAGGCCAACAGACCACTTTAATCCACTCTAATTGGATAAATCTACATAAAGCATAATAATGGTCCAAACCTATAAAGTTCCAATACATGCTTGAATCCTTTCCACAAAATAGTCTGGATGCACCACCTATCTGAGCATTTTTTAGCCTTGCGGAACGCCCTCCCACCAGATGTCGAGGAAATAAACAACTATCTGACTTTTAGAAGACATCTGAAGGCAGCGCTGTTTAGGGAAGTTTTTAATGTTTGATCTTTTATTGTGTTTTTAATATCCTGTTGGAAGCCGTCCAGAGTGGCTGGGGAGGCCCAGCCAGATAGGCGGGGTATAAGTATTATTATTATTATTATTATTATTTCTGGCCAACCAGTTCAAAAGCATGCTAATGCAAGTAGATAAATAGGTATCTCTGTGGTGGGAAGGTAAACGGCGTTTCCGTGCACTCTGGCACTAATCACGGTCCTCTGTGCACCAGTAGTGGTTTAGTCATATTGGCCACGACCCGGAAAACTGTGGACGAACGCCAGCTCCCTTGGCCTGAAAGCGAGATGAGTGCCACAACCCCTAGGTCGCCTTTGACTGGACTTAACTGTCCAGGGGTCCTTTACCTTTTACCTTTATTATTATTATTATTAATAATAATAATAATATATAATTAAAAGCAGCTGAGTACGGTTCCTATTGAATTTAGCACATTTGGTCTCAGCTCCTGTTCAGGGATATTTGAACCTTGGTGGTTAGTACAGTGGTACCTCGGGTTACATACACTTCAGGTTACAGACTCCACTAACCCAGAAATAGTACCTCGGGTTAAGAACTTTGCTTCAGGGTGAGAACAGAAATCGCACGGTGGCGGGCAGCGGGAGGCCCCATTAACTAAAGTGGTGCTTCAGGTTAAGAACAGTTTCAGGTTAAGAGCGGACCTCCAGAATGAATTAAGTACGTAACCAGAGGTACCACTGTATAGTAGGAATTCCCAGTTGACTATCTCTCTCTGTATTATTTGTAGGTCAAAAGGCTGGCTTCCCACATGTCGCAAAGCAGATGCATGAGCTGTTAAGTGTTATCCTTGTGTTTTGCAGTAAAAAAGAAAAAAAGACGACGTTTTGCAAAATTCTTGTTAGCCAACTTAAAAAAGAAAAGAAAAAAGTGCTGCACATGACTAATTTTAAACGGTTCATTGTGTGGTTTTGAATATTGTCCATATGTTCCAAATGACCATAGGCATCCTAATCCTAAACAAGTTTACATGCCACTAAGTTTAAGAAGATATCTGAAGAAGTGTGCATGCACACGAAAGCTTATACCAAGAACAAACTTAGTTGGTCTCTGAGGTGCTACTGGACAATGTTTTTTTATTTATTATATATATATTTCGATTGTACAAAGTGTGCTCAGGAGGACAACTATTTCCTCCAACCTGGAACCATGGGCGTAGCAAGGGGGGGGGGCAGAGAGAGGCAGCTGCCCCACTCCCTAAATCAATAAAAATACATATTAAACTGAGGGCCTGTTCCCCCTAACAAAAATCCTGACTACATCCATGCAACCTGGGGCATTTCATTCCTATGGGGTTGCGCTGAGTTTTGTTGTTGACGCCTCTCATACAAAATATCAGAGCAATGTACCAACAACATTACAAAAGAGACAAAATACCAATAAAAATATGATAGATCCCCCCACCCATATCTACCTTCGAAATATCTTTTCGAAATGAGTACGATTCCCCACCCCACCCCCTGCTCCGGGGGGGGGGGCAAAAAAAACAACAACAGAGAGAGAGCGCGCGCAAAATTTGCATTAATAGATCGTTCAGGTGTTATAAATCTGACGAAGTAATGAAAACGGAGTGAAAACAGTCCGCGCCCCATTTTCTGGACGAGGTTCGGTTTGCCAGAGCTCACCATTCGGTCTTCCTGTGGGGAGAACTACAAGCCCCATGATGCAACGGGGCCTCTCCTGCCTTCCCGTCTTGCCGCTCCGCAGGCGAAGGGCGGGGTCCAGGAGCGGCAAGTCGGGAATCGCTTCCGGTGCGAGGGGTCGCGAGGGGTTCCCTGCCTGAGAGTCTGCTTCTCTCCCCAGTGAGGTCCCTCTTGGCGCCTGCCAGTGGCCGCTTGAGGATGGATGAGGACGGGCTGCCCCTCGTAGGCTCCGGCATCGACCTGACCAAGGTACAGGCGGCGCCAGGTTGCTGGCGTTGCTCCCTGAGGCCGGCGCCAGGTCCCCAGGGAGCGAAGGAGGCAACTTCCCTCTGTAGGATTCTCCCCCCCCCCCCCGTCATCCCTTAAAAAGAGAAGCTGACAAGCTCTGTGAATCGGGGCTGTTGCTTTTGCCCTTGTAGGGCTCCTCCTGGACCTCTGGCAGGCAGAAGTTCGCCAGGAGAAGCTGCGCTCCTTCGCCTGTGGTGTCGTGTTTTTATTAAAGATGCAGAAACTATGCGGGTGGGGAGGTGGGAGCGCGGGTAGGGCAACCTCTAAGGAAGCACAAGTCTATGGAGGCTGAGGGTTAGAGAAGAGGGCGGTTGCGAGGAACTGGGGGGCGGAGGGTGTCCTCACGGGAATCAAACGTGGCTTAGCTTCCTCTGCCATTCGTCTCCTCGGAACCAGTTGTGTGAAAAAACAATCCACTCTGGGCCTCCTTCGTGGAAGTTACAAGAGGCTTGCATAGCAGACATATATTCTGTGCCCTTATATGCCAGTTTGTTAACAGGTAGTAGCAACCACTGGTCATCTGACCCACCCTGAGTAGCCAAGTCTTGAAGGTTTCTAAAACATCTTGAACAAAGAGCATTTTTTAGTCCTTGATCATCAAGCATCCCTCTGAATTGGTTGTTTGCTCTTCCATTCCCTACTTTCCTTCATCCATAAGATTGCCTTTTTAAACCATGTCCCTTTTTTCATTTTTAACTCATTTGACTAGGCCTTTCTGCACTGTAGTCAATTTTGGAGGTTGTTTTTTCCCCCCTTCTGGCTCTGATTCACTCTTGAGTGCAATTGTTCTCTTGAGTGCAATTGGTAGCAGGCTTGATAACCCATGTAGCATATTGGAACATGCTCAGTCCCAATTCCCCTGGGGAAACTTAAATAGCTACACTGCAGTACTGATTTGGAAAATAAGGCAAAACAAATTAATGGGTCTGGAAGGTTGCAGGAGCAGCATGAGCTGAATTTCTCAATGTGTGCTTGCAACTCATCCAACCCTAATGTAATGCAAGTTTGATTCCATAAATCATTGACTTCCAAGCTGTGTTCTGGAAAATCCAAAGTGTGTTGTTGGACCAGGACCAAGGAGACCCAGCTTAAAATCCCCACCAGCCATTAAGTTCCTTGGGTGATCTTGAGCCAGTCACTCTCTCTCTCAATCTAAGCGTCATCACAGTGTTGTTCTGAGGATGAAATGGGTGGTGGTGGTGGTGGTGGTTGCATGCTATTCTGCAAACCCTTGCCTCAGATACTACATGAAACCAATAATGGCAGATAAAGTTCCCTGGCAGACAGTTTGTCAGATCTGCCAATATTCTTTTGCAGTATGCCAGTGCTCTGCATGAACCTGTTGTATTCCCCTAGAACAGGTCTTGCATTCTACTACAGCAGACACCCCGGTAGCGCTTCCTTGGCGGATGACAAGCCAGTGGTTCCTTGAAAGCAGGAAGCTTCAAAATCACAAGGGAGTAAACTTAGTGAAATATAATCCAATGACAGTAGCAAGCAGGTGCTGCAGGTAAAATGGGGAGAACTCTGCAACACTCCATAAGAAAATCCACTGTGAGATTTCTGCTGTGGCAACACATTGCACTTGGATCATGTATGCAGGATCCAGTAGTCCCTAGGATGACATTTTTCCATGCCAGACACCATACTGGAAGATGCATGATACTTAAAAAAAAAGAAATGCCACACTTACTGGAAAGATAAATTCCTTTCTGACTTTCATAGATAACTCCTGAAGCATCTAATTTAACATATCTCCATGAGCTGTCACTGAAATATTTCATCATAAATGCCTGTTGTAAAAATTTTATTGGTTGATTCATAGATAAAGCCATGACTTGGTGGCTGTTGTGGATTTGCAGTAGGATAATGATGATGATGGAAGTGTTTTTAGGCTAGCCCATGCCCTCACAAATGACTATAAAAATAAGTTTACTGGAGAAACTTTAATATACTTCCAAAATCCATCCACTACCTTTTTCAGAATGCGAGACTTGCAGCCCCTGCATATTCATACTTACTCAAAAGTAAGTCCCACTGAATTTGATGGTATTGGCTCAGAGATAGCAGTGCAACCTTAATCTGTTCTGTTTCACATTTGTGGTCTGTCCCATTCTTGTAGATGAGTGTTAAGGAGCCTGTGGCCCTCCATGTGTTATTGGACTCGTGTTCCCATCATCCCTGACAGCTGGTTATGATTGGTGAGGCTGATGGGAACTGAAGTCTCAACAACATCTGGAGGTTTTCCATCCCTGTTATAGAGCTACCACGTTTACATATTTGAATCTGTGACTCAGATGGAAAACCATATGCCCATCCAGTTTGCATATGTTCCAAAACTGGGAAGAACTGCAAGCATGATAGAGCACAGGATTACACTTTTATGTGACTTGCATAACTTGAAGCATTGATCTGACAATAATAAATTGGATTTCAGCATATCCATAGCAAAAGTGCAGCAGATATGTGTATTCAAACACTGGATAGTGGTGTTGGGAGCAACTTTGCTCAGTTTTATCATCATATAGGTTTTGGGTGTACAGAATGAGCCTTGCTATTGTTGTATTTGTGCTTTGTACAATGCAGGTTCCTGCCATCCAGCAGAAGAGAACAGTGGCATTTCTAAACCAGTTTGTGGTTCACACAGTTCAGTTCCTTAACCGATTTTCCACTGTTTGTGAAGAGGTAAGTAAGTATACACTGTACTACCTTGGGGAAGGGGGTGGGTGCATGTTGCAGACAGGATTTGCATTGTTGGCTAATAGTCAGCTGTGTGGGGTATAAGCCCATTCCCTCTGACGAATTTTGTAAAACATGGTTAAAATACAGGGTTCATTACTGCTAACTTTCCTAAAGAGATGGTGCTTTGAAAGTTCACTAACACTTCCTCTTCAAGGAGGAAAGAGACACTGGCTGGAAAGTACATGGGGTCCTTTAGCTTTTTAGGGTCTGACATGGTGCAGTAGATAGCACCAAGCATGGCTATCAGAGGCCCACATTCAAATAAGGAGCATAGGAAGCTGACTCAGGTCAGACGAGCCTTCGAGCCCAGTATTTTCCACTTGGATTGGCAATCTTTCCCATCGCCTGCTACCTGCTTCTTCTAAGCAGAGATGCCATGACATGTTATCTGCCACACAGCTATAGTCTCCTTGTTCTGCTGCGAAGCTCACTGGTAGGTCTTAAATCTCTAAATCATTCTGGGTTGCTGTGGTTTTTGTGTGTGTGTGCTTGTTTTTTGTTTGTTTAATACAAAGTATCCCAGACAGTTCATAATGTAATAAAATTTAAAACAGTACATAATTATTCATGTTCTATAGATATTTATGGATTGATTTTATTGTATTGTATATGCTGTAAGCTACCTTGATATATTTCCCAAAAGTGCAGATTATGTACTTCAAATAAATAAATAAATATCATAAAAACACCAACAATCAGATAAATAATTAAATAATTAAAAAGGGACCTCTGGAGAAAGGCTCAGACAAGGTGGATTTCCCTTTTCAGGGCATTGCATTGCCCAGGCACCACTCTAGAAAAGACTTACCCCTTGTGGCTATCTGGCATTCTTCGTATGGCTGGGCCTCCACATGAACAAACCACGATGGCTATGTAGAACCTCCACCATTGGAGACTATGCCTCTGAAGGCCAGTTGCTGGGAATCCCAAGTGGGGAGAGTGCTCAGTTGTGCTCATGTCCTGCTTGCAAGCTTCCCATATCCATTTGGCTTGCCACTGTGAGAAAAAGATGCTGGACTGCACAGGCCCTTAATCTTCTCCAGCAGGCTCTTCGTATGTTCAAAGGTCAGACAGATTCGGAGGTAGAGGTGATTCTTCAGATCCACTTTGTCACAGCTTGGTGCCCTCCAGATATTTTGGACTACAACTCCTTTCATCCCTGACCGGTGGTCATGTTGTCTGGGGCCAATAGGAGTTTGAATCCAACAACATCTGGAGGGTACCCTCTTGGGGAAGGCTACTTTAGATCCTAGGGTCCCTGGATCTATCCACCTACTAGGGCAATTGTGACGATAAGAGAAGAATAGGAAAGTGTTCCGTACACTGATAAATGCCATAAGAATCCTGTTGTATAGAAATCAGCTTCCAGTGTTCCATCCTACTCAATGCACATCAACATGAAATGGAACTTGTGGTGGGGCTTTGCAGATAGCAGCAAAATTCATTGTCAGTAATTGGGGTCCCAGGGGGTATCTAGGGCCCCCAGCCAGGTTTAGCCTTTCCCATTGCTTTATCTTCCATAAGTGAGTGTTTGCTATTCACCCATGTTGGGTAAAGTGAAGCAATGTCATTTATGACACTGTTGGGTTTGAAGGTAAACCTGCCCTTGGACTGTGTGGTCTTGTCATCACTGATGGTGAAACAGGGAAGGGGCACCATCTGTCTCTGTGCATACTGCATCCTGCAGAAGTCCTTTCAATATGCAAGCCCTCCTTCATGCACCATTATTTATTTGTATTTTGACAAAATATTTCCAGACTGGCCTTTGCAAGCAATCAGTATTGATTGGCGCCAATAGGCTTTGCAGACTTACTTGCATTGCTACATTTAAATTTTAAGTCCTATCACCTTCCTTCAACTTCATCTTAAAAGGCACCATCATAAGGTTTTCTGATATATAAATGACTTCAGATAAATTGACTTTAAACATCTAAAAACCAGGTGGCTAATTCTTTTTCTTTCTTTTTTATCCCAATGTCTTGACAGCCCTAAATGCTTGTGTGTGGTCATTTTTAAAAAATGACATCCATTCCAAAGAACAAAGAGGCATCTATAAAGAAAGAGATGGAGACCAAAAAGGAAAAACAAAACCCCAAGCTCATCAACATCTGTGCTTCTTTGTCTCTATTATGTTGGCTGGTTGGCATATTTCTCAGGGTGTTAAAGATTTTGGCTCTAAGAGCCCAGCAAAAAGTTACTAACGTGCCAGGAGGCAGGGAGAAAAATGCTACAGATCTGCCAGCCAACACACTAGCCAAGGGTACAACACAGGCTGGTTGCATATGGCAGCAATTAGTTCAAGCCGCCATATCAGTTCTTAAAGTTTGGGCTTTTTTGCAAATCAGCTTGCATTTTAAAATAAGTCTTGCATAGCTTTTGGAGCTTTGTGTCAGTTCACTTGACCTTTTATCAGATTTATTCCACCACTTCCAAATTGGATTACTATTTACGAGTAGGTATGAATGCTTTAGTTGGAAGATGGGTTTGTAATACTAATTGCTCAGGTTTCACTTGTTTTGTTGTGGAGGAGGTGGGTTAGGCTATTTTGATTGTGGCATGTCATGGGATTGTAATACAGTGGTACCTCTGGTTACATACTTAATTCATTCCGGAGGTCTGTTCTTAACCTGAAACTGTTCTTAACCTGAAGCACCACTTTAGCTAATGGGGCCTCCTGCTGCTGCCGCTGCACAATTTCTGTTCTCATCTTGAAGCAAAGTTCTTAACCCGAGGTAATATTTCTGGGTTAGCTGAGTCTGTAACTTGAAGCGTATGTAACCTGAAGCGTATGTAACCCGAGGTACCACTGTATAGCATTCCCCATCTAAAGATGAGCAGTAACTTTTGTTTATTAAATTGTTTCACTCTTATTCTACCCTTTTGCAAAAACTATATGGGGAGGTTTGTAGCATTTCCCCCTCCCAGTAGGCAGGTTTATTTAAAGGAGTAATTGTTCTGTTTACAACTTTCACATAGCCTTTCATCCCCAAACCTTTGAAATCAGTAGGGATACACACAACAATCTATATCCGGTCTGAGTAAAATTCACGTGTTCGTTTATAGTCCGGTCCATTTTCTAATTAATCTGCAGTTTTTTATAAAAAAATCTGCACAAAAATTCTTCTATATGCCAGGATTCAGCAAGGGCTATTGCACTAGTGTAGCAATGAAAATAAAGGGTGGGCAATACCAAGTGCAGTGCAACAATTGTGCTAGCGGAAGCTTGTTGTGCAGCAGTTTGTTCAACAGGAAATATTGGTACTACAGCAGCAATCTGTTGCACAATCAGCAAAGAGAATCACAGCCGTTTCCTGTACTTTCTCTTGGTTGAGCCATTCTTCTGGCACAAGTACACCACTAAGCAGTTTTAAATCAATGCGACATTGAATTCCTCTCACAATCTCAATATACACATTTCTGATCCTACTTTACCATAAAATGCGTATTTGTTTAAATATTTTGATACCTTTTGTGGTGAGAACTTTATTGCAAAATTTTGAGAACTGCAAAATCCAAAGGATAATTGCGTTCTGATCCACGTATTTGTTCTAGAGGTGTGAATTAGGTTAGTTCACTTTTAAAACTAACCAGTTCTGTATCCTATTGTGCAGCCCTTAACACATGACTGACTCTTCAGGGTGCCCAGTTTTATCTTGTTCCTATTCAAGGGTTTAAGATTCATTTTACACAATACTGTTACGTAATCATTTGAAATAAAGTCTATATGGCAGGCTTGTTCATAGATACTTTATTAATTGACTGTGCAAAGTAAAAATTGCTTCCAGGCAGCCAATGACAGATTTTTTTTTTTAAAGTTGTCTTTTTTAGGCCACAGGTGACAATCAGCTACTTTGGGGCAGATGAGCTGTTAAATGTTTTTGAGAGCTAGCAACTATTTACCAGGCTTCACTGTTGTATATGTACCAATTCTGGTATACAGCCTAATGTTATAATCAGAGGTTAATCTTGAGGTATTTTAGACCACCTGTGTGACAAGGCTTGCAGGATCATGTATAATGTGCCACATATTATCCTTCGAAAGAGTGAGGCAATAAGTATTTTGGGGGAGGGAGTGGAATGCTAAGTATTCCTGAGCAGGGAGGGCAGAGGAGAGAATTGCCAGTGAGTAAAAGTATGGAGTAATACATTTCACTTCCATCTTTCCCAGAAATTGTCAGCACTTTCCCTCCGTATTCAGCAGATTGAAACTACACTGAATATCTTGGATGCAAAGGTTTGTGCATGATATCTCTCTTCTTGCTCGTTGTAGTCTTGAGCACAAATTAAGGGACTTGCCTGTATAATTCCTAAAGTCCGGTTTTTATCTGAGCTACATTCGTCTTCAGGCAGAACTGAGTATATTTTTTCAGAATGTTTGAATGTAAATGGAAACAGATGGCAAACGGATATCTGTGATAAGGCAAAGAGGAGGTGAAGTTGTTGGGTGCAAGCAGGGCCCGAGTGATAAACACTTCACCCTCCTGCTGGCCAGAATTTTGTGACATGTTGGTTTGTCTTAATTAAGGTATTGCCTCTTAGTGGATGTTGAGGCCTTGGTGAAAAATAGCATGCCCTGGAGATGCTGACTAAACAGTTACAAGTTTTATATTCTCAATATTAAAATGTTGTCTACTGTTCTTGGTGTTCCCATCTTCAGTTGTCTTCTATACCTGGGCTAGAAGACGTCAAGTTTGAAGTATCCAGCACCAGTGTCAACAGCGTTACGAATGGCCCTGTCCCACAAGTCTCAGTAGATCCACAGTCAACAAATGTATCTCCTCAGCTGGAGGTAAAAGATTGAGCTCTTCCTGACTTGGTTTCCCCCTGCTTCTAGTTAGCCTTTCTAAAGCAAGCGTGACTTTGTTCACATGTGATTTCATTTGCTTCCCGCAGACCACAATCTGTAGTCAGGGTTTGTTCTTGGCTTACTGATTGTGGTTTGTTGGATCTGTGGTTTGGACATAATGCATAGCCAGGGATTGTGGTTTGTTTCAGCCATGCGCTAGAGAGGAGGAGCAAAACAGTCCCAGTCTGTGTGCTTGTGCTAAACTTAACCATGGTTTACCATGATATGTGAACTGAGTCAATGTCTGCACATGTTTAAAGATTGGCACATAATGTTTTCTCTTTATAGCAGAGCACCGGTCATGAGATGGCACAACAGAAGACAGAAGGAGCCACAGAAAATATCATCACAGTAGCAAAGGATCCCCGCTATGCAAGATATCTCAAAATGGTTCAAGTGGTAAGACAGTGGTTCATCAGGCTTCATCAGACACGAAATTTGTGTGTATTCTGTATCAAGCAGCCTTCGAAGTGAGCCCTTCTGGCTGTCCACTCTAACTTCTTTTTAACTAATCCTCTAACTTTTGATAAACTCCCTCTTCTGAAAGGGTATGTGATTCTGTTGGAATTGGTGGTGGTGGCTGTTGTCAATCAGTTCAGACCCTACTTACAATCATTTGTTGTATTTATTAATGCCTCTTTATTGTGATCTGAATGTGCGTTTGCTCTTTCAGTGTGATGACAATTCAAATCATCTATAACTAATGGCTTTCCATCTCTGAACTTCCCCATTTAATGTGTTTAGAGACCTCTGCAGCAGTTTCCGTGTTTGATGGCTCTGCGCCAGGCTTGATGGGAACAATATGTGTGAAAAGCCACTCAAGGATCAGTTTTGTTCCTTTTAGTTTGTTTCCACTGATGTCCAGCCAAACCAGTTAAATTGCTCAACATGTGATGGACCTTTGCATCTAGAACATGCTTGCAAATGAGCTCTTTGTAAGCAGGCCCTGGCTTCTTTCCATTCTGATTGAGCCTCCAAGCCAATTGTCTCATTAGCATTTCCTAACCTCCTGTTGATGAAAGGAATAGGAACAGAAGTCACTTTACTCTGAATTAAACAGTAGTAATAGAAAAGAAAATTATGTGCCCAGAAAATTGCAGGTGAGCAGACTGCTATTGTGCTTGTGTCTTGCTTGTGGGCTTCAAAGAAGCATTTGTTGGCCGCTGTGAGAACAGGATGCAGGGCTAGGTGGCCCACAGACCTGCTTCAGTAGGCTCTTCTTCTGTTCTTAATAAAAATTATGTGAAAAGGCAAGACTATGCCATTCACATTTTGTTTCTAGAAATAAGAGACAAAGGTATTCCGAATTTCTATGGATTAACGAAAGCAGGAGCGAATGATTCTCCGTGAGAGTCCAAAGCCATTCAGTATTCTTATTCCACAAAGGTGTTTAGTGGGACAAGGGAGAGGCACATGCCCATATTTTCCTTAGCTGGAGCATAACATGGAAATAACTCTTCACACATTTTCCTAAGAGATGCTTCTTAGCCATGGCACCATGCAATTGGTCTTATTTTAACCAGCTATTGGCAAACTTGCCCCCCCCCACCTCCATCTTTGGACCATGCTGTGCAGCCTTCCTGAAATTAAAATGGAACTAATGGCTTGATTTCCTTGCTTGTGCCCAACGGTTGCTGTTGAGTCAGGCTTCAATACAAAGCATTCAGATTCAGTATTGCTGTTAGGATATTCCACCAGACCTCTTTTGCTGGCCTGAACATTTTCCTGTGAATTGGGAGTGGCAAACTGGCGTTGTGTGGCTAGATAATTACCAGTGCACTTGGAAAGACTGATGTGGTGGCTGAAAGGAGAGTGTTTGGCTGATGGTTCGCTCTAATGTCCTTTTTTTGGTGATGGGATTTGTGCTGGGGTTGGGTGGGGAAGACAACTTTCTGCCCCCCCTCACACACACACCCTTTTAGAATCTTAACCACATTATTTGAAATCTACCCTTCTTCTGTAGCAAGGCTTCTTCTATATATGCCCCCTCCTCTTAGGTACAGCATATGAATGAGATGTTGGGCTGTTGAGGAGCACAGTAGTTTTATGTATATGTTACAGATACATCAGGAAGCACAGCTTTACCCAAGTACAGTGGTACCTCGGGTTACATACACTTCAGGTTACATATGCTTCAGGTTACAGACTCCGCTAACCCAGAAATACTACCTCGGGTTAAGAACTTTGCTTCAGGATGAGAACAGAAATCGTGCTCCGGCGGTGCGGCAGCAGCAGCAGGCCCCATTAGCTAAAGTGGTGTCTCAGGTTAAGAACAGTTTCAGGTTAAGAACAGACCTCCAGAACGAATTAAGTGCTTAACCCGAGGTACCACTGTAAAGCTACACATGAATTTTGGAGCCACAAAAAAGTGAGGAAAGCAGGCATGTACATGGTTTGTATTTCTTCTTTAGGAACATATAATAAGTGCTTTATATGAGCTTAGGTTACCTGCATGAAGTAAGAAAAGTGGGCAGAGATTAGTTTTTCTCCCTCTCATAATACTAGAATCCATGGCCATCCAGTGAGAAGCTGAATGTTGGAAGATTCAGGACAGACAAAAGAAAGGATGTCTTCAGACAGAACAGAGTTACGCAGTATAATTTGCTCTCATGGGATGTAGTGATGGCCACCAACTTGGAATAGTTTTTAAAGTGGATTAGACAAATTCCCAGAGGATAAAGTGATTGTTGGCTACTACCCATGATGGCTGTCTGCTATTTATATTGTTAAAAGTTGCTGGGAATCAGAAAGTGGACGCGTTCTGTCATGCTTCGTCTCTGCTTCTAGGCTTCTCATAGGCTTCTGGTTGGCCACTGCAAGAACAGGATGCTGGACTAGCCGGACCTTTGGTGTGATCCAGCAGGGCTCTAACATTATTTTCTGGCCCAGTATTATCTACTTCAGCTGGCTCAGGCTTTTCACTTCATCTGCTGCCTGGTTGTTTGTTGTTTGTTTGTGATACAAGGGACTGGACCTGGGACATTCCACATCCCAACTTGTGAGTTCTGACATTGAGCTAAGGCTCCTCCCTTCCTTTGTGAGATCCAAATGTCTTCCAAGTGAGCTTTCTTAGTTTCATCTTCTGAAGCTACAGGAGGGTTGGGAAAACCAGTGATGTGAGTTACTCACAGTTCAGCTCTTCCTGCTTTTTTTGTAATGTTTGAAACAGTATTCTGTTCAAAGCTGAGGGTGCTAGTTCTCATGACAGTCACACCAGTGACAATAATGTATCCTCCATGTAGACAGCACTGTCAAGAGGTTGTAGAGGAGCAAGCTTATTGTGGGCTGGCTTGAACAGAAATTTATTTGTGGGAAAGTGGCAAAAAAGTCTAACAAACATGGACCAGCAGAACTTTGTGGCCCCAATCCAAGCTGGTAAGGCGTAGTTAAGCCAATGCACCTGATTCTGTGTTGGAATGTAGCCCTATAACATAGCTGTGAGATTTAAGGGCAGCTTCTGCCACCCCCGTAGAGCTTATGTTTAGGCTTCTTGTATGCAAGTTAGGAGCTGCAGGTAAGCCACTATGGAGATGAATATATCCTGACCTGGTAGCCTAGGAATTGGGACAACCCAGCTATAAAGATTGAAGCAATATCAGTGATGGCAAAAATCCATGAGAAGCAAATTGCTTCAGTGGGTGTAACGGATTCAAATGTTTGGTGGAAACATCAGAAAACAAAGAGAATAAAAATTGTAGCAGTAAGCAAGCCAGTTCTGACCCTTAAGACAGATAAGCTTTCTCTTAAATTGCGAGGGAACGTTGATTCTCAAGTTAAAGGTGGGTCTGGAAGTAAATGATCTTCCATTTGGGACAACTACTCCACCTGTTTCATAAAACCCTAAGCTGACTGTTTATAGGCCTCCAGGATATGATCTTAAATTCCTCTCGCATTAGTTATGTAATACAGCTTGTGTTTTTTATTTGATTATAAATCATTTTAGTGCCGTATGTATGTTAGATACAGTTTTTGGCAAGTAAAAAACCTCTACTTCATCAAAGCATAGGTATGTAGGTGTGGGTCTCATCTTCTCAATTTCTTACTTCAGATTTCCCATGACACTTTCTGGGGTTGAATCTTAGGTGATAAACTTTCAATTCTTCTCTCCCCCGCCTCCCACGCCAGTCCAGCAATTATTAAAAGCTCTGAAATGGGAAGAAGATATTGGGGGAGGGGTGTAGCTCAGTTGCTTTGCATGCAGAAGGTCACAGGTTCAATTCCTGCTATCTCTAGGAAGGAATGGGAACATCCCCTGCATGAAACTATAGGGAGCTGCTACCAGTCAGTGCAGGCAATACTAGGCTATATACACAAATGGTTTGGCTCAATATAAGGAAGCTTCTTATGTTCCTATGACACTTGCAAGGTGACATAAACCGTGGTATGATCTATCCAGCATGCAGTTTGATGGAGACCATCTGAAACAGAGAGCTTTATGTAAGATGGTTCTCCTCTACTACAATCTTGCATAGCTTTTTCAGCTGCAGTTCTTACATGCTATTCTGTTTCCTGGCTAACAGTTGTTTGCTATTTCTTCCATTGGCCTTTTTTCATATTTATAATCATTGTTCCCATTGTAAGATACAAAACGTTCTGGATAACAGAATCCTTAACACGTCCAGCCCCCCCTCAAAAGAAAATCTAGCTTCCATACTTTGGGTTACATTTTCCATATGGCATATGGTAAGTCCCAGTTATAAAAGATCTGTGTGACTCCTGGTAATTACAGTTCTGTAGATCCCCACTATTAAACTGCTGAGTTTAATTGTTTTTATTGGAGATAGCCAGTTTATATAAAGGTGGGGGGAAGCCCCAAATACAGATGCACACAGGAAAATATTAATCACCGAATTAGCATCACTATTGCTCTGCCAGCCTTAACCACTCTCTCCACTTTCATGTGTGGTGCTAGTACAGACACGCTTCTCTGAAACACCCGCCATGGCTCCTTTCTCCTTACCTTGGCCAAAGTACATTTGTTCAGTGCCAAAACCAACCACGCACTACTGTTCACTTAGAGTTTGAGGTCTCTCACGTCCTTTTCAGACCTCCAGTAGACCTTGGAACTCAGAAATTGGACTCTCTTTTTTTCGTTTTTGACCTTTTGCATCAATGATGGCAAAGCAACAAGTTCTCTTTGAGCCTCAGTGGCAGGAACACAGGAGCCAATTCTGTTAGAACACCCCTAGCAGAGAGTTTGGACTTTCACAAACTGTTCTCTACGATCCTACAAGAAAATATGAAGGGAAGATGTTTGAGACTTGGGGAAATGGACCACAAGTAGTGGGAGAGCTTGCATTGAAAGGTCATTTTCATATGCATAGTTGTCTAAAACTTACCTTTGTGCTAGCCCACATTTAAATGTTGATCTTGTGATGCCAGATTTGGAGAAGTCTGCTGAGAAGCTTCCTGTTTTATCGAGAAAGTGCTGAGGGGAGCTGCAGGAGAGTAGCATAATTACAAATTGCAAGATGAATGAAGCTATTTTTCTGAGATTTCACAAAAATAAAAATAGCAGATCTGTTGATGGATGGAATTAACTGCTGGCCCAGCAGGTGGGAAGTCAGTCTGGAGGTGTTTAAACAGAAAACAACAACAACAATAATAATACAGGGAGAGCCAGTGTGGTGTAGTGGTTAAGAGTGGTAGTCTCGTAATCTGGGGAACCGGGTTCGCGTCTCCGCTCCTCCACATGCAGCTGCTGGGTGACCTTGGGCTAGTCACACTTCTCTGAAGTCTCTCAGCCCCACTCACCTCACAGAGTGTTTGTTGTGGGGGAGGAAGGGAAAGGAGAATGTCAGCCGCTTTGAGACTCCTTAAAGGGAGTGAAAGGCGGGATATCAAATCCAAACTCTTCTTCTTCTTCTTCTAATAACCCATCCATTTATACCCCTCTTTGGGTTACCCCAGCCACAAAAGTTTGGTAGCCTAATACCTGTACTTATGACCTAGGTAGAAGATGGGTCACAACCTCTACACCTTCCAGCAACATCAGCTAAGCAATTTTATTGGAAAGCACAGTTTCATTACGTGTCCCTTTATAAAAGTGGTTTCCTGTTAGTAGGATTACGATGTGATCTCACCTCTGCATGTTGTGATTTTGGAATCATAATGGCTAATCCCAGTTTCCAGTTGCTGTATGCAAACTGATGAGAAGAACTGCACGGGTAGAGATATATCCCGGGCAAAGAATGGTCACAGATATTCAAAAGGCCCAGGACCTGGCCACTGTACTACACATACTAGTCCTGTTCTTTACATCTCATTTAGCTGGCTACTGATTAAAGAAGCGGCTGAGAGCAATGTGCAGAGCTTGATCATTGGTCCCGCATCGCTGCATCCATTTCTTTTTCTCCTTCCTCCATCCACATCTTGATTTCTTTGACTCCACTGCCATGATCACCTTTCCTAACTCCAGCCATTTTTACTTGGACTGATGTTTGAGCATAATTTATTTCATGCCTGGAGTGCATTGCTGACCATCTCTTGCATCTTTTTGTGGGGCAATGGAGAATTCAAGAAAGAGCCCTGCTGGATCAGACAGAATGCCTGTCTCATTCAGCCTTGTACTCCTGCAGTGGGAATGGAAGCACAAGACCCGTAGCATGCTTCCATTCATGGAACTGGCATTCAGAGGCATGCAGCTTCCAACCTTGGAGGCGATATAGCCATTGTGATCAGTCCCAATGTGATTTGTCTAATCCCCATTAAAAGTCATCCAAGGTGGACTTCCGGGTTGGCGCGACTGGCTAATGGCGGATTCCCTCCGAGCTCCGGAGGGAATCGGCTTAGCAGGGGGCTGGGTCTTGCCGTGCCGGCGACACGGGGACCCTTAAAAACCACGGGCACGGAGCCCGTGGACATGGTGACTCGGCGGGCACCGTAAGCGCCCTCCCGACTCGTGAAGGAGCCTTTTTAAAGGCTACGGATCGGGTGCCAGGGAGCGGCGTGGTGCTGTGAGTCCTCCGCTTCCCCTGCCGAGCGAAGCCGCATGCCATTCTTCGGTCAGCGCTGACTTCTTCCTACTAAATTTGGACTTAAAAGCAAGAACAACAACCCGTGAGTAATTTGAAAATTGATTACAATATATTTGGCTTTGGATTTGGCACGAGCGGGGGAGCTGAAAAAAGGAAGTCCGTCTCCCCCCTATTGTAAACAGCTCAAAGCAAGGACTTGTCAACTAAGGTTGCGGGAAGAGTTGCCGGGATTGGATAAAGATACAAATTCCACAGATTTAAAAGGACTAAGCTAATGTGCTGGAGGACTAGAGTTTACTTTGTTTGAATTAAGTACCACTTTTCTCAAGCCCGGGAGTAACCTGAGTTAAGAGCCTGCTGAGGATTTATAGAAACCTTTGACAGCTGTCAAACTAGCTGTCATAGTTGGAAGAATTGAAAGTTGAAACTTTAACCGGTTATATCGCTACAAAATATTGAAAACAAAGAAAGATTGTTACAAACAAATCTGACTTTTGGATCGGAGGGGAAAAGAACATTAAGTAACCAGAATCCCTCTAGAGGAGATTCTTGGACATTACCAAGAATGGAACTAAAACAGGGAATACAGGAAATACGTGCTGGCGTGGAAAAGCTGACCTCTCTCGTGGGAAAGTTGTTAGAGATGAATGAGAAAGGCCTTGTTTGTCTACGAGCCCCTCAAACCCGAAGTTATCTGAAGATATACCAACTGAATTGGAAAGGGACTCGCTGTTCAAAACACAGGCAGCTGGACAAGAAAAAGAACCAAAGATTGAGGAGGAGAAGACATCTGCCAAGCAGGAGGAGCTGAAAGAAGGGATGGCTGAGATGATACAGAAGAGAAAAGAGAGACGGAGATCTGCTAAGAAGAACCTTAAATTGACCAAGGTGAAAGTCGGACTATCTGGGACATATAGATTTATGAAACAGCGTTGGAGCACCACCTGTAAACAAGTAGGTCTCAGTGGAAGAATCATGGTCAGCATTGAGAAAATACATCTTCGACCCTGGGCGTTAAGCATGAGAGACTTTCGAAGAAACTGGCTGAAAGGGACTGAGAGAGATTTGCGTGCCTCGGACGTAAGATCACCAGGCTAAAAAGATGGACTAAATGGATTTTGGTTAGGGATTGAAACCGGGGAGGGAAGGGTGGGACCCAACAGTCCGAAGGGGGTCTGTTTCTTCTTTGCTTTAGGAGTATAAAAATTATAGGTTTTTTTATTATTATAAGAATGGGGAATCCGTGGAGGGGAAATAGTGGCAACCTTAGGAAGGGTATATCTCTTTTTTTAATTTCTTTAGCTCTACTCTTACATTTTTGTTTCTTCTCTATATAATAGGGTTAAGGTATATATTTTAATAAATGGCTAAGGTATAACAATGAATTAAAGTTTAATTCTATTATAAAAAATTATTTTAACTAAACTAGGGATAAGTGACTTTAAATAAACTATGTTTCAGGATATTAAGGGAAAACTTGCTTGAATAAACAACTGAAGATGGAATACAATAAGGGGAGACGTGGGGAAGTCTTGAAAAGAAGTTAAGGAAAATGAGTCTAAAAGGTGGAAATTTTCTTTGTTGTTATTGTTTTCTTTTCTGGTCTTTTTACTTTTTTCTTATTTCTCTTTTTCTTTTCTGTTCTGTTATTTGTAACCTTTTGAAAATTTAATAAAGATTATTATAAAAAAAAAAAGTCATCCAAGGTGATCGCCATCACTGCATCTTGTGGAAGGGATTCCATCGTTTAACTTGGAATGAAAAGAAATACTTCCTTTTGTTCATCCTGAATCTCCCACCATTCAGTTTCATTGAATGACTATAAGTTCTAGTATTATTGGGAGAGGGCATTCTCCATCCACTTGATCTGCACCATGCATAATTTGGTTCACCTTTAACCCCTCCCCCCCCAATTTTCCTAAACAAAAAAGCCCAAAATCTTGCCTCATAGGGGAGCTCCTCCAGCCCTTGTTTGTTTTGGTTGCCCTTTTCTGTACCTTTTTCAGCTTGACAGTGTCCTTTTTTGAGGAGGGAGAAACTCACATGGACATTGCAGACACGCAAGAGATATTCCACAGCAGCGAACATCTCTAGGTGTTTGAAAATGAAAGAAAATGGTATGCTAGCTACAGCCTCTGAAGTAAACCAAAGTTATTCAGAAATGTAATTCGGTTTTTCAACAACTTCTACTCCCAAACTTTCTATAGAGGCAGCCATAGGAAATGTGGCCTTCGATCACCTTCCTGCTGTCAACAAAATCGGTTTCTCAGATCAGAGCTTTTCCCCTTAACATTTTTGTGTTTGCTCTTTATTCATTAAAACGTTGCGATTCCCTTATACAGTGCTTTTCTAGACTTTTATCGTTCTTTCCCCCCTCCGCAGGGTGTTCCTGTAATGGCAATAAGAAACAAAATGATTTCTGAAGGATTGAACCCGGATCTTCTTGAGTAAGTGACAACTACTTGCATATTATGTGTGGAGAGACAGGACAGAGCTGGAGCTTGCAGTGGGGGATAGAAATGTGTATCTTGGTCATTTGGAAGCTTCAAAAAAAATCTAATATGAAATAAACTTGCAAGGCTGAAAAAGCTAGTACACCCAAAACATCCTGCACAGGAGATTGTTCCATCAGTGCAAGCATTTCTGCTTTTCTGGCGGAACAATCTTCTGAATTCCACCTTAATTCTTTCCCAATCAGGTTTTAGTTAAGGCTATCCCCACCCCCTAAGCAGCAAGATTACCTCCCCCACTGAACACTTTTAATGGCTTGAGGATATTATCTTACTTTTTTCTAGACAGTAGCCACAGTTAAGCATGGCTGAGTTTTTTCCGCTGTTGGTGATGGAACAGCCTAGACATGCAGGTCCTCCTCTTTATTGCCAGCATTTTAAAGGAGAGTAGATAAAAATTGTAGAGATTTGTTTTACTATCAACAGAGGGAAAAAAATAACTGGCTCACTTATTTGGGATTGAAACCCAACAGAAGCTTCAGTTCCTTGTCAACAGAAGAGCTACAGGTAGCCTGATCCCAAAATTTAACTGTGCTGCCTATAATAAAAGCGAAGGATGAGGCATACCTATTGATTTTCATAACCCAGGAAAGATTCTCTGGTGCATATGTTCTGGATTCCTAAATCAATGTTCTCAGACATAATGAAACGGTATAACCCCATCTTAGAACATACCCACAATCTAGAATTCCGACTTCTAAATACATATCCTGACCAGCCCCTAAGCTGCCCACACTTCTCCCTGGCTCCCCACATCAGTACTGTTACAGGGGCCACGGCAAGCTCTAACAGGACTCTGTATCCCTTTCACAAACACCAGTAGGGCTAGGACCTGTCCTTGAGAGAGTGTCTTAGACCTTTACAATTGATAGGTCTATTACCATTGCATGTGCAGGTACCCCTACAGGCTGAGAAATGTTGTTCTGCACGATGTACTAATAACTACAGCAACAGTACTTCACCTTTATGCTGTGCTTTTGGAGTGTTCAAAGAGCTTTGCATCAGTCATCTTTAGAGCAACCCTATAAAGTCGGCCAATATTATCACGCCACTGCAACAGAACAGCAGCTGAAAGCTACCTCAGTGAGCTAAACGAGATTTGAATGGGACATCCCTACCTCACTTCCAAGGTTTTCTGGATTTTGCATCCAAAGAGAGATCTCTGAAATTATACCCCCTTCCTATGGGAAACTAGTCTGCTGCAGTACAAACACCACCTGCCTGGCTAGGAACTTGTCAGTCGACTTCATATAGGTAATGATGTAGGCATTGCCTATGAAAGCCCAGAGTAAACCTCTGAGGTCTGTAAGGTTACGAAGCACATTTTGCTACTGCATAACAACACAACTGCGCTTCTGAAAGTAGCTGCAACATTGACACTTAACATGTCTTCTAACGTTGCACATGATCATAGAATTATAGAGTTGGGGCGGACCCCCGAGGGTCATCTAGTCCAACCCCCTAAGTTGTGGCTTCTTATCTTTCCCTTGCAGGACACCAGATGCTGCAGTGCCTACCTGGGGAGGGGAGGCAAATGCAGAAGACAGTTCTGACAGTGAATCCTCATTTAGTGACTGACAGCGCTGATCCAGGTGCATTTTTCCTTAAGAGCCCTCTTCGCAAGTGCTTGTGTACAAAACTTAAATCTGAAAGATTTCCTGATAGCTTGAGCCATAGAAAGTATTCGTCTTTAAAGGAATTGCTACTTTGCACTGGGGTCTTTGCCTCGTCTTCCTCAGAGTTTTGAATGAAGGCCCAGTCTGTCCTGAAGGGACTGACAAGATGTGCTGTTACTTACGACATGATGGCCCTGATCTATTGTTCCAAGGAAGCTCAGGGTAAACTTGGGGCAGGTGGGAGAGTAAGTAGACCATGCAAGCACGGCAGGTGGGAACAGGTGTACTAGCTCTGTCACTTTCACCCTCCACAAGTTCTGCGGATGACCAACTCTAGCGGGGAGCCTCCTGCATTTGTGTACATTCCCTGTGCCACATAGAACCCTGATCTTCCTACTTCCTACACTGCAAGGAGATGGGTGCCCCTCATTCATGGAGGGGGATCAGGACAGGGGAGGGCAGAGCTAGCGTGCTCATTCTTGCTCTCTCCACTGGCTTTTCTGCTTATTTGCGAGTAAGGCACCCGAGAACAGCTTTGCATTTCTGATGAAGCCAAGGTGTTTCTTTGGACAATACTGATAGCCTTTTAGATTACCTCTTTATGACTGGATTCCACTACCCCTCCCTTCCTGGCAACTGTCTATATTCAGAATGCTGCTCATGCTGTTTCCTACACAGCTTTTCTTTTTAATCCTCCAGTATCGAATGAGAATTGAAAGCACCAATTGCTTGCTGCATTGGGATAAGCACAAATAATTCTATTTGTCCCAGTGGTCTAAGACCTCTGGGTACGAAGGGCAGTGACAGAAAGACTGAGGGTGGAAGACGGTGGCTCTTTCCACAAGCATCTCACACAAATCACACGCCATTGCTGCTACACCCCGCCCAAGTTTTTTTCCAGTGGAGATCCTGTATTAGGCACGTGCAAATCTTAAGGTAGCTCAGTCGCAAAATTTTGCGTAATGTATCACTGCCATCATAGTCAGCAAGCGACTTCTGTGAGTTATATCTTGTTTAGAATGTCACTCGTAATTATTATAGTGCACTCAAGAAATAAAGGTCCAGGTTATTTAGGAGAGTAGAGCTTTAAATTCTGATGGGTAAGAAAGTTATTTTCTGATAAGGTTTTTTAATGCAATAGCAAAGACTTCCATGGCTTACAATTTTGAAAGATAGACACAACTAGCAAGGAGATTATCTTGTTTTCAAAAGCTTATTCAGAAAAGCAACACTCACAGAAACTGAGACCTACCATTTATTTCAAAGCATGAGTTGCCTTATATTTGATCAAAATGCAATGCTGCAAAATTACAAGACTGCATAAACTTTCAGAGGTCTTTTTTTGTGCAAGATTGGCTTGCATCGCTGCCTGGTGAATTTCACTAGTGATGTTAAGGACCACTTCACTTTATGAATTTAGAGCATTTCTTAATACTCAAAAAAGAACGCTAATGCCCTTCCACCCCATATATGCATAGCAGGGATCTGCAGTTGTCCGTGACTTCCCAGTGTGGCGTAGAGAGGTGTAAAGTGGCCCTCAGCTTTTGTCCTTCAACTTTTCTCCCAGCCCACCAGTGTTTTCTCATACTGCCATTCTGAATTTGCTGCACATGTGCTAGCGCCCTTGTGCTTTCAGCAAATGCCAGGATAGCCATTTATACATCAACATCAGATCTGAGTATGAGCCAAGAAAGGCCGGGGATGCACACGCCTCTTGGTTAGGAGAGTTCTGGCTGCAGGCGTGAAGCAGAATCTCATGCAATTCTTCTGATTGGAACAAGACATTCCGGGACATTTGTTTTTTCCGAAAATATTTCAGAGTAGATCAAGACATTTTGTTTCAAGCAACAAATCTAAGATGTAACCTTTGTCTAGGTCTTTATTAACCTGGTCTTCAGCAAAATGCAACTAGTATTAACAGTGTCTGCTTTGTCAGCCATAAATAATCAATCAAATACTATTTACCATGCTGCCTAATAACACATATTATATACTACAACACTCAGAAATGGATTCTGTATATTTGAAAAACACGCATCTATAATTAAAATTATGTTTTGTAAGCAAATGTTTGATTCTTTGTGCAACGTGTAGATAAAATTGCATGTTTTGATGCAGCCTTATTAATTTTTATTGTCACTAAAGTGCACTGCAAGAATATTTGAAACTATCCTTCCCCAGAAGTCAAGGGAGATAAGAGTCCGAGAAAACAACATTGCTTAGCAGCAGAGAGATTTCTTACACCTGCAGGCAGGCAGCATTTGAAACCATGCAGTGGAGTCTAGAAATACTATTTTTCTGCACTAATTAGTTATAAATACAGTCAGGTATTGTTTATGTCAGTTTTCAGCTGGAGAACATTGGTGGTTGATTGCAGAAATTCTCAAATTTTAAAGGAAAAGGTGGCTTCATTGTATGTGGATTAATGATGCAATGTAAGTTTCATTCCCTCCAATGTTTTTTCTAAGTGTTACTGTTCATGCAAAACAGAAAAAGCCTGTAGCTATTATTTATAAACACAACAAAAACAGAATAAAACAACCTGAGTCATTCCAGTATTTTAACAAATAATATCGTTTGATACAGTTTGACCTATTTCAGGAAGATGCAGATTATACATCTCTCATCAAGTGAGGAAGAAGTTGCACCGTTTTAACAATATAAAGCAGTTTGCCAGTTTAGTGCAAACCATGGTTTGCTGTAATGTTTGTTTGAATTAAATCAAAATTAAGCACTTATATCACAATGTTCAATGTAGATGTATATGCCAAGAATATTTATATGCATGTATACACTGAATATTAGTAAAAGTACTTCTAGCTAGTTCTGGAACCAACTCCTTCCCATCTTCCCCCCCCCCCCCCGCATAACAAATTAGGAGCAATACAGTGGTACCTCTAGATATGAATGGGATCCGTTCCGGAGCCCCGTTCACATCTAGAAGCAACCGTAACTAGCGATGGCAGGTCTGCGCACGCACGTGTTCACTTTTCGCCACTTCTGTGCATGCGCTTGAAGTCATTTTGAGTGCATGCGCATGCGGCAGAACCCGGAAGTAACGCACTCTGTTACTTCCAGGTTGCCGTGGAGTGCAACTTGAACACGCTCAACCCGAAGCGCATTTAACCCGAGGTATGACTGTAGTTTTTTATCCCTTCTTTTTGTCAAGGTGAAGACGTTTGTGAGTTATAATGATGTTGGGAAGCCATCAGGCTGCTGAGATTGCTTTGCTCAAAGCTGACACTTTTTAGCATCGTTCTGCTGGAACCTCTGAATCATTCAATAAGAAATTGGAAGGGAACTTTTATTTTTTATTTTTTTATCAGCTTTGCTAGCTACTGAAGAAAAAGTATTTCCCAAAACTGCTGGAATGAAGTGGGATAGATTTATACGAAAATTTAAAAAGAAAAATGTTAGGCATATTTTCCTCAAAATACCATGGATTGCTTTTAGAGCTAGATTGGAATATTTGTGTAAAGCTGCAATGTTTGGCCTCACAAAGACAGGACATATTTTATGCCCTTAATTGAAATTTATGAGAACTTTAACAGCTCATCCCAACTGGAACTGGCAACTTTAGCCCCAATATGGGTCTGGAGATAGGTTACTATCTTTTTATGTGTAGTTTTATGGGAAATAGTTTACATTCAAGATGGGGGGATTAATATTTATTTTCCATATTTTGATCGCCTGCCTGCAATCTTAAAATATGAATGAAATTGCCCATTGTTTCACAGTTATTGTAAGATGTATACTGTTCGTGGGAAGGCTGGTGAGCAAAACAATTTATTTAGAGCAAGTGGGGGGACGTTTGGCCCGATGGATGTTGCTGAACTACAACGCCCATCATCCCTGGCCATTGACCATGCTTGCTGGGACTTGTAGTTTATCAACATCTAGTGGGCCAAAGGCTCCCCTCACTTGATTAAAAATACAGTGGTACCTCAGGTTACATACGCTTCAGGTTCCAGACTCCGCTAACCCAGAAATAGTGCTTCAGGTTAAGAACTTTGCTTCAGGATGAGAACAGAAATCGTGCTCCGGTGGCGTGGCAGCAGCAGGAAGCCCCATTAGCTAAAGTGATGCTTCGGGTTAAGAACAGTTTCAGGTTAAGAACGGACCTCCGGAATGAATTAAGTACTTAACCGGAGGTACCACTGTAAAACTAAACATTAGGCATGAGAAAAGCCCACCAGAAATCTAATTCCTCAGCTCCCTCAGGACAAGGTCTCCAGAGCTTTGTGTAAGATCTGGACTGGAACACCTACAGAACATGATGCACTAGACCCAGGACTTTTTCCCCCAGCTGGAATTCGTCAGGACTCAGTCCTGGCACCTCTCAGGTGGGTGCCATTGCCACTCTAAGAGAACAAGGGAGGAGGATATGTACATTTTAAAATATATATCCAAATTTCTCCCAGGTCTGAGGATGAATCAAGGTTTTGCCAAGGACCCACATTCTTTTGGAGCCTACCAGAAGTTCAACCACAGAAGTGGCAGCAGGTAGCAAGTCAATGGGCAACTTCAAGGCCTCAGTTCTCCCTTCTTAGGGTTCTTTATTTTGAAACCTAGCTTGGACCAGACAGCCCTTCAGACAGAGGCTTGTCCTCTGTAAAGTAGGATACACAACTATCTATATATTGCCTGGCTGCGTGCTCCTGGGCTTCAGCTATATATAGGAGTAGAAGCTTTAGGTTTACAGAGAACTCTTTCTTAGAATGGAAGGGCATCTAAGTCCCACCTTTGGAAGGAGCAAATTTTATTGAAAAGATGCACTATATTAAAAAGCTTGCATGCACCACTGTCAACAGACACTCGAGAGTTTTATAGGATTTGCTGCAACCACCACAGCAACAGCTGTTTATACCAAATTAAAACCATACTTGTCCCCTAGGGTGCAGCAATAGAACTGCTAGTACATTTGCAAAGCTAAGGGTCTGGTATGGTTTCCAACTGGATGAGGGATCCTGTGTTGAGATTCTGGCATTGCAGGGGGTTGGACTAGATGACTTTTGGGGTCCTTTCCGAACTCTACAATTCTATGAGTCTCTGATTCTAGATTCATTACTAAAGACAGGAATGGGAATTCTGCTCATAAGGAATCCATTAAATGGGAAGAGCCTTTGAAGCTACAAGCTGTCTTTTCAGACTCTTCTCGTCTGCCAGCCACTGATTTTAGGAATGTTTTAGAAATACCTGCCAGTGCATAAATGGAACTCATTTTGGTACTGGGAACCAAAGTTACAATCTCACAAAAATACTAAAATGTATTGTATCTTCCAATTTATTAAGTAATAGCATCGACTTGTCTAAGTAATGGTGGTGGTGGGGATGATAGATGTGTTTTAAAAAGCAAAGTATCATATTTGATGTAATAGCAGGGTTGCTCGTTTTGATTTTAAAGACCAAGCTTGTTCTTTGAGCATTTTTAAACGTAACTCCCAACAATTTCTCACACCATAATTTGCCTTCCCATGACCTTGTTTTGGAATATACTCCATGCAGATGGTCAGTTTAACAGAAGGGATTCTCCAAATTCTGCCAATTCCCAGCTACATTTAAGTAGTCATGGAAGACTTCAGGGCATTTAGCCCCGGGGGAAAGAATTCTTCCTTTTTTAAGATCGATGTGGTAGGTACAAGACATTCTGATAGTTAAAATTTGTAACAACTACGCCATGTGCTAGGCACAGATTGCTAGGCACAGGATGAGATCTAACAAGTTAGATTTTTCTTGAGCATTTGGAGAAACAAGAACAGAACCAGTGTGGTTAGAGTGTTGTGGCCTGGGAGATCAGGCTTAAAATCCCCACTCAGTCATGACTCTCACTGGGTGACCTTGGGCCAGTCACCATCTCTTAGCCTAACCTACCAGACAGGGTCATTGAGAGGATGAAATGCCAAGGAGAGGAACCATGTACACCACCTTCAGCTCCTTGGAAGATAAAAGTGGTCCATAAAGGTAATAACTAACTAACTAACTAACTAAATAAGAGCAGTTCAACCACAGAAACAGTTGCCAGCAGGGTTTCTCCAAACGTGTAGTCCAAAAACAGCTGGAGACCCAAGTTAGGGACACCCTGATCTAGAAGATGAAGGTGGGCTGTTTCTTGCTGCAGGTCTTCAGACAGAGGCTGGACAGCCATCTGTTGGGTATGCTCTAGGTCTGGATTTTCTGCATTGGTGTACATCAGATATGGGGAACCTTTGGTCCATGAGATGCTGCTGAACTATAAGCCCAGCAAGCACAGCCAATGGGCAGGGACAGTGGGAGTTGCGGTTCAGTAATATCTGGAAGGCCCAGAGTTCCCTACACCTTGACCACGTGGAGTATAAGGTCTCCTCCAGTTTTATGATCCAGGGATTAGAGGGGTCTGGTACCCAGCTTAACACCCCGAATTCATAACAAATCAGCTTGCTGAAAACCAACTGGAAAAATCAATTGTGTCTTTTGAAAGACTGGCAGCAATCCTTTTTTATAGAAAAAAGCATGGTACATTCTACAATTGTCATAAGCAATTTGATTTAGTCACAGTTAAACTAACCAATGATGTTAGATTTAGGCAGGAGCCCAGCTGTTTGCTAGCAGAGGGTCGGGTTTGAGAGTGCCCTGGAATGAAAAATACCTGCATGGCTTTAAATCTGTCACCAACACCAAGATTAAGACGACCGCAAAATGGAAGCAAGCACATTTGTTGACGGTCACGGAGAAAGATGGCTTTGGAGCAAGAGAGCTGAAACCACACGCTAATGCTAGCATGCTCTATTTGTTTGCTTTGCCAGGACAATCTCTGTGAGCTGAATATTATGTAACACAGAATGACGACAGTGGACAAAAGCAGAAAGCAAGACACACTGCCAACTATGTGCCCCAGAACCGAAGCAAAGAAATGTCAAAGGAAAGCTTGCCTATTCTCAAGAGAACTTGCACTTGTTTGTTGGAGACAGGCTTTTTACCTTATGTGTCCAGCTGCTTCACAAACCTTCCCCCACTGGTCAGCAAGGCTCTTTAAAACAATGTTAGGAAGAGAAATGTATTCTTGCAGAAAATTCAAATTCAGGTCAGAAACCCAAGCGAACCCGTATCTCTCTTCTAATCAGTGGAGTCATTCTCAAGC